GGGCGACATCTCGCAGCTGAAGTATCTTTACGCTGTACAGCAACTCCATCTCGGGCACCATCCCTCCGCAGACGAGCAAGCTCTCGCAGCTGGAGTATCTTGGCCTGTTCGACAACGACATCTCCGGCACCGTGCCGTCGCAGCTCAACAACCTGCCGCTGACGTCCTGCGGGCTGGGCGGCACCAACCACTTTGCCTGCCCCCTGCCCGCCCTTCCCGCTGTCTGCACCTCGGCCTTCCTACCAGAGTGCAACTACCCGCCACCTTCGCCGCCCTCGTTCTCACCTCCCTTGGCGCCCTTACCTCCCTCGGCGCCTCCCCATCCGCCTGGCAAGGCCCTCCCGCCGGACCTCTCAATCGTCAATGGCGATGACCAGAGGCTACACCGGCAAGCATCCGGCACTCATTCAGAGCGCGAGACGGCATCGACTCGTGCCCGTGCTGCGTCCTGGCGGGCCTCTTTGGGTACAAACAGCTCACAGTGCGACGACTCGGGCTGCGCTGGAAGGATTCGTCATCCCCCACCCGCATCATTTTGGAGCAAGGGAGGCGCAGTCATGCTCTGCCCTTTGAGAAAATTAGGCTACATTCACATCTTCAAAAGCGGAGGAACCACAATCATGTCGCTTTTTCGCGATGCGTGTCCCGGTGCGATCTACATCCGCAGCTGGGCAGGTGCGTGTGATTTTCCTCCATGTGGAAGCTGGAAGCATGCGGCAGCCAATCGCGCGCGCCATGACAACTACGCCTTCTTCACCTTTGTCCGTGACCCGGTAGAGCGCTTTGCTTCAGCCGTTTACGAGGTGAGCCGCAGAGGGTTCTCCTCGGCCTGGCGCAAGTGCAGGCCGAAGCTCGCAGGGAAGACTGATGGCGAAGATGGTCGCCTCGCTCTGTCAGTCTTGGAGCATTGCGTTGTGCAGCCTTCTATGAGATTGCCAAGAAGGGTAGACCCGCATTTTGAGCCTCAGATCAACTTTATGCTCGATGACGTTAGGGTGTTGAACCAGCTGAAATTCGTTGGGCGGGTCGAAAACCTATCGGAGGACCTGCGGGCAATTCTGCAGTCGCACTCCCTCAATGTCAATGAGGCGCAACTTGCGCAGACGCACTTGCGGCGAAGCGGTGACGCCGGTTTCCACCGCCCTGGTCAAGAGAGAGGAAAGGGGATCCTGCTCAACGTGTCAGGGTTCACAGATGACAATCGCCGTACAATCCTGCGCGCCTACTCCACTGACGTGAGAAGTCATGTGTGAGCTCTCAACAAAGTATGTCAGACGCCGTATTAGCGGTGCCAAAGTCCAGTCGGTGGCCTGACTGACAGCCTCATATTGTGTTTGATGTCTATATGTGTGGTAAAGGAAAAGGTGCGTCGTAGTTCTGACATTCCTCATCTATGTAGTGCCCTAGCTCTTCCCGGGCACGCCCGTCTAAGGTTTAGAACGGCATTCTGCACGATCCGCTCGCTATATGGGTGAACAATGGGGCCTCTCTTTGCCGGAAGAGGGGGTATGATAGCTGAAGGGGTTTCCGTGCCCGTATTCTAGTTTTTATATCCTCTCCCAAACCCAATCCCATACCATACCATATGGGGCAAATTGAATTATTCAATTTGCGCCGGGCGGGCAAACATAAAGTATGTGATTTCGTCAACAAACTGCGCGCGCACCATTGTCCATTCATTCACAAAAAACTCAATACACCATTACGCACCACGGGAGATACCGCCAAAAGAATTCAGGAGGCGGACATGTCTCAGCACACTGGCACGACAAGGGCGCGGACTGGCGCGGACTGGCACACACACCGGCTCACGGCCAAAAGAAGAATTTTAGCAACCTCGCAGAATACGTCAATGAGTTTACGAATCGTGTTCTAAGAGACTACTTCAGTAGAGGTGCATGAATGAGATTTCAGTACCTGAGGGGCTGACGCTCAAGCCTCGCAGGACGTCTTGTGCGGGGCGACGCGACAGCCCTCCCTATATCAGTGACAGGGGCGCTGGCGTGGCGCGGGGCGTGCGTCGCGGGCTCGGGCTGGCGGGGCGCTGGTGCGGCGAAGCACGCGGGCCAGTTGGCGCGGGCTGAGCATTGGGCTCAACAAGGTTTGCCTCTCGCACCCCGTCTGTTTTCCTTTCCTTTTTTCTCTACAACACCCTCTCTTTTCCTCTCTATTTTCCGGGGAAACTCCGTATTTTGTCGATTTCCTCAATTTTGCCTCAGATTTTGCCCCAGACTGCGGCCCAGACCAGCTCTCAGACTCAGGGAAACTCGCGAGTTTCCAGAATGGAGCACCAAACACCCTCTGTTTTCCCTAAGTGGAAATTTCCGGAAACGCAAAGTGCTGGGGACCCTCTGTTTTCCTTTTTGTTTTCCGGAAAACCTTGTTGAGCTCAAGCTGAGCAATTGGCAGGCTGTCGTGGCACGCGCAAAGTCTGGGAGCGAGGCTGCAAGGCGGCGTGCGCTGATGGAGAAGGAAGGCGGCGGCGTTCGAGCGCGGGGCTTGGGCGGCGGGCGGCGAGGCGGGCGTGGAGGCGAGCGGCCAGGCCGGCGAGGCGTGCAGGTGGCGTGCGGCGTGGGAGCGGGGCCGGGCTGGCGCGAGCCGGACGGTATTTGCGTTCTTGCTTTCTTTGAGCGTTTCGCGATATGCGCACTATGCGCAAAAGGTCAACAGTCCCGGAAACTACTTGGACCTCCGCCTCACGTCCGCGCTGCTGCCACGTCGCCGGCCCCCTTCCCCGGCCCCCTTCCCCGCGCCGAGCCGCCCGCCGCGGGCCGCGCTCACGTGCGCTTCGGCCGCGAGCGCACCAGGCCAGCACAGCCATGGGCTGCGTCGAGAGCAAGGCGACGGAGGTCTCAGTGGAGCCCACCCCCACGCCCCCGCCGCCCAAATCGGAGGCATCGCCGCCGCCCCGAGGTGTCTGAAAACGCCGTCCCAACCGCGTCCCTACCTGAATGCCGCCCAGAGAAGGATGCTGCTCCCGGTGCTCCCACTGCACAAACTCCTATTACCTGCTCGGAGATCGTCTGCAATGCTCTCGCCGAGGCTGGCGTGAGCCACGTCTATGGCGGTCACGGTGGCGCCGTAGTGCCACTAGTCAATGCCGTCTGCAGCCACAAGAGCCTCACCTGGGTGTGCACCCGCAACGAGGCCAACGCATCGCTCATGGCCGCCGCGGCGGGAAAGCTGAGCAACGGCAAGGCGCTCGGCTGCTGTCTCTCTACGTCGGGCCCCGCAGTCTCCAATCTGGTCACGGGCCTCCTCGATGCGCAGCTGGACCGAGTGCCTGTCATCGCCCTCACCGGCTGCAAGCCCCGCAGTGATCAGGGCCACTCCGAGTTCCAGGACATTGACCAGGCACGGCTACTCGCGGCGGGAGGCCTCGCCTATTCGATCACGATCGCCGACCCAACGCAACTTCTCTCGGTAATCCGTGATGCCATCGCCATCGCCTTCACGAAGCGCGCCGCCGTGCACATCGCCATCCCCGTCGACATCCAGGTCGCTACCGTGGCGTCGCCGCCGGCGCGCGTCCTCTCATGCAGCCCTGAGACCCTCCTGCAGCGCGTCAAGGCTGGACCGCCCTCGGACGCGTCGCTCCAACGGCTGGCGGCGCTGCTCACCGCAGAGGGCGAGCGCATCTGCTTCGCAATCGGCTGCGAGGCGCGCGATGCCGGTCCTGAAATCCTCGCGCTCGCACACCGGCTCAACGCGCCCATCGTCACACGCCAAGAGCGCCGTCGACGAGGACGATTACCACGCTATGGGTGTCATCGGCGTGCACGGCAAGCCGGGTATGAGGGGCACGGCCGCCGTGCTTGAGAAGACGACGCTCGTCGTAGCCTTCGCCGTCAGCGAGCTCTCGGTGCTCCTGTGCAACTTGCATGGCCTGCAGGTGCGCAAGCTCGTCGAGGTGACCACCGACTCCTTTGGCCTGGCCATGCATTTCGAGGCGGAGCTCTCAGTGACCGCAGACGTGGCCACCGTGTGCAAGCGCCTCGTGGAGTTCCTGCCCAAGAGCCTTGCGGAGCTCTCAAGTTCTGCCATGCACGCAGCCACTGTTGTGTGTGGTGGGCGATATGTGTGGTGGGCGTCAATCGAGCGTGCCGAGGCGATGGCTCTCGAGACGAACGCCAATCGCGTGATCAAGGCTCTCCGCGCACGAGTTGCACGCAAGGCTGGTCTCTCTACAGACGTGGCTGCGCCGCGCCAACCGGCGCCGACGCTCAGAGCGCCCACCGCGATGCTCAAGACCGTCGCGCGTTCGAGCTACTGCCACCAGGCGCAACTGCTCGCTCGGCTCGGCCCGCGGCTGGGCGCCAACGATGTCGTGTGCGTCGACACGGGCGACATCACGCTGTGGACGTCGCTCTCCTTGCGGCTGCGTCGCGGCTCAGTCGTGCTCTCCTCGGAGCGTCTCGGCACGATGGGCTACGCACTCTGTGCCGGCATCGTCGCCTCGGCGCAACGCGGCCCCAGCGCAACGGGCATCGTCATCGCCGGCGACGGTGGCTTCCAGATGACGCTCAATGAGCTCGGAACGGCCATCCAGATGAACTCGCGCCTGGTGATCATCGTCATCGACAACAAGGTCCTCGGCCGGGTTGAGTTCGGCTTCAACAACGCCCAGGGCTGCGCCCTTGCCGGTCCCGACTATCTTGCCCTCGCGCGTGCCTACGGTGCCGACGGCATTCAGCTCACCGACGATTCGCAGATCGACGCAGCGCTCGACGCAGCCTTCGCGGCGAGCGGCGTCTTCATGCTCCACGTCGTCTCGGACCCAGATGTGAAGGCGGAGATGGCGACGTACAAGCCACGGGGCATCGTCAAGGTCGACTCTGCGTGAGGCAACGTGCGAGACAAGTGACGGTTCGGGCGAGGCGAATGACGGTGCAGGCAAGAGACCTGAGCTGAATCGTGTCGACACGGCCTCGTTCGAATCGTGACACTGAGCTTGAATCGTGTCGAGAGCAGCCAGTGCGAGCCGGCGCGCTGGCTTGCGCGTGCGCACCCCGGCGCTCCGGCCGCGCCCCGCACCCCCGCCGGCGGGAGCGCCGGAGCGCCGCGGCGCCGTCGAGCGTGCACCGCACCTGCTCAGCCCCCCGCCCCTCCGCCCAGCCTTCGTGGGGGCTGCGCCATGCACGCGGTCCGTCGAATGGAGAGACTCCAGGTATCAAAACTCCGTCGGCAGGGAGTGTCTGAGAAAGTTTTGCAGAGAGCCACAGGGGGAAAAGAGACACAAAACGATCACGGAATAGACAGCGGGGTGAAGGCGAGCTGTGGCAGCTCGCATCTCACGAACATCAACACGAGGTCGGTGAAGGAGCGATATCAGCGATTGCATCTGGGGCGATCCTCGGCGGCACCGCCCCGCCCAGGCAGCGCTGGGTTGGGGGGCGGCCGCGTCATGTCAGACCGGTGCGTTCGGCGGAGTCTAGGGTAGAGGAGTCGGTCGGGCGCGCGGTGCCGCCTCTGCCTGGCGGGAAGTGTCTCCTTGCTCGCAGGCGAGAGGCGGAACGGCGCGGCGCTTACTGTCACCCGCCCTTCTTGCGGCGACAGATGCCGGCCGAGGAGGAGCTGGAGGCATGGCCCTGCAGCGGGTTGTGCTCCGATGGGCCCTTACCGCGCTCAATCTTTGCGAGGCGCGCAGTCACGCTCTGCTTGTCGGCGGGCAGTTTTGCGGGCGCCTTGCCCGACGCCGGAGCCTCACTCGACGCCGGCGCCTTGCCTGACGCCGGAGCCTTGGCGAGGGCGCTCGTCAGCCGGTCCGGGAGGCTGCTGTCGCTGCAACCGCCGCCGTCGCAGCAAGCGGGAGACGGCGCCGACGCAGCACGCTCCTCCGCGGCGCGCGCCATCCGCTCCTGCTGCACCTGCCTCGCCCGCAGCAGCGCGTCCTCCTTCGCAGCAGCGCCGCCGAGCGTCGAGCCGGAGCGGGAGTGCTGGAGCAGCTGCGCGAGTTGCCACGCGGCGAAGAGAAGGGCGCACGCGAGGGAGATCGGGTATGCTCCGGCAAACTCCGCAGCGCTAGCAAGCATCCCTTCCGCGCCCACCTCAGGTTCCGGCTCGGCGCCAAGGCCGGGCTCAGACTCCATTGGGTATGGGCAAGCCGTAGGAAGGGGCAACCCAGTGTGGGCGCCGGAACGGCGGAGAAAACCATATCGGCGCCGGCCGGCCGGCACCGGCGCACTTTTGCGCCGGCGCCGGCGCACTCTGCGCCGGCGGCGCACTTTTTAACGGCGCACTCTGCGCCGCACCACATAGGGGCTGGCACACCACACACGGACCTAGCACACCGCTACCGTGTGAAAGTGTGACACCCCCAAACCGTAAAAAGCACGACAGTCAAAATCAAGGTTTTTTGTAACGCGAGCTGTGCCACAGTGAAATGGAACTAGCTCTACGCGTGAAGCAGCGCGGGTGGAAACCAAGGAACAAGGAGGGCGCCGCTGGTAAAGCCGTAGCTCCTCGAAAACGGGCAAAAGCGCAAGCGCTGGGAGGCAGGTTTCGTTATCTTCGGCGACGGCGTTCGGGTTTCTACCGGCTGTGATTTTTAGGTTACTGTACAAGCCATTACGCAAGCATGCGCGTCGGTCAGCTGGGCCATCCATCAATGGGGTTCTCTCTACATATGCCTCGATCGCGGCTATGACCTACGGGGAGTGTGACCCACTTGCCCCGGTGCATTATGTGCGTCATCAGACACGACGTCCATCTTGCGTACTCGGGTGTTCCTGCAGTGTTCTCTTGCGTGTCACGGCGCAGAGCCTCCGAGAGGTAAACCGAGCCGCGAGTAGCCGGTCGGCTGCACGCCCCAGCCTTTGCCGAGGAGGGCCGTCTCGAGGCAGCGCGCCAGCAGCTGGTGGCCTACGCGGGGCTACGCGCGCCTCGTGCCTCTCGGTGCCGGCGCCGCAAGGGTCGGGGTTGCTGACGGGGCGGCCTTCGGGGTTCGGGTGGAGCCGGTCAGGCATCAGTCGCACCACGACCTCCTCTGCCTCCTCCTCGCCGCCCTCCCGCCGCCCGCCGCCCGCACGGAAGGGGCCGCCGCAATCGACGTAAGAGACGCGGCCAGGGAAGTCGACACTTAGCCGACCGCCGCTGGCCTCCTCACGCAGCCGCTGGTTGACCTTCTCCACCGCGGGCATGAAGGAGCGGAACGGCGCACCTCTGCGGTCGCAGCGCGGCGGGCAGAGGCGCGGGAGCAGCTCGGCCCCGTCGCCTACCGGCCGAGGTCGAGCCGAGATTGGACGCAGCTCCCGCGTCGAGATTGCGAGCGGCAGTGTCGCGAGCGGCAGTGTGGCCTCGCGGCAGCAGAGCGCAGAGCAGCAGGCGGCCGCGGCTGCGCCGCAGGTACTCGCGCGCGACGGCGAGCACTCCCTCCGCCGTCGGGCCGGGCAGGTGCCCCGCGCCGAGGTTGTTGGTGCCGATCATCACGACGGCGGTGAGGGCGCCGTCCGACGCGAGCGGCGGAGGGAGCTCGCCCCCGTCGCCCAGCCGCCAAAGCAGGTGCTGCGTCTGGTCGCCTGCTCGCGGGCCGGCAGGTGTGAAGAGAGACGCGGCCGTCCAGCCGCCGCAGCTGCTGCGTCTGGCCGCCCGAGATTGCGAGCACAGCCGGCGAGGGCCACCGCCGCGCCAGGGTCTGTGCGAGCACCGCGGGCGTGCCGTTGGCGCGGCCTGCGGGAGTGCCGTACGACGTGCCGCGCCAAGACTCGGTGATGGAGTCGCCTGCAGAGGAGGAGGTGGCGCGACGACTGCGGCCGACGGACCAGGCCGAAGTGTGTGCCTGTGTGTGTGCCTGTGTGTGCCTGTGTGTGCCTGTGAGTGTGTGTGTGTGTGTGCCTGTGTGCCCGTGTGTGTGTGTGTGTGTGTGTGTGTGTGTGTGTGTGTGTGTGTGTGTGTGTGTGTGTGTGTGTGTGTGTGTGTGTGTGTGCCTGTGAGTGTGTGTGTGTGCCTGTGTGCCCGTGTGTGTCCGTGTGTGTGTGTGTGTGTGTGTGTGTGTGTGTGTGTGTGTTGTGTGTGTGTGTGTGTGTGTGTGTGTGTGTGTGTGTGTGTGTGTGTGTGTGTGTGTGTGTGTCCGTGTGTGTGTGTGTGTGTGTGTCATTCACCCCAGAGCGCGAGCGAGCCCTTGCCCGGCGAAGCAGTGTGTGCTGCCGCTTCACTCGCCAGCACGGCCTGCCATCTGAACCACTTCGCGAGTTGTGCCGCAGATCGAGCGCTACGCTGAGTGCGTGGGCTCGCCACGTCCGGCTGCTCCTCCTTCTGCGAGCCGACGAGAAGCCAGAGGCCGGAGCCGGCCGCGAAGCTGGCGAGAAGGAGGCAGGTGGCGCGTGGCGGCCGCACAGCGCCACCGCTGACGAGAGCCGAGTAGGCAGGCATCCAGAGTCCGAGGCGGCAGTGGGACTGGGACGGGGGCGGCGGGGAGGGACAGGCGCCGAAGTGTCTTCTGAAAACTCGGAGTGGGACGCCCAACACTCCGGCAGCGGCAGCGCGGCCAGGCAAGGCCGAAGTTTCTTTTTTCGGCCCTGAGGGGTGGTTGAGGGCTGGCGAGTACAGACCACGCCTGCATTCACAGCACAAGCCCTCGCCAGTGGCTCGAGCATGCGCAGCGAAAAGCTGTGAAAAAGTGAGGCGTGGTCTGTACTCGCCAGGGTTGAGGGGTGGTTGAGGGGTTGAGGGTTGAGGCCCCCCCTCAACCATCTGGTTGACGGTTGAGACCCCCCGTCAACCCTTTAGTTGAGGTTTGAGGCCTCCGGGGCCTATTCACAGGAAGGCTCGCGCGTGATCACAAGATAAACGGAAGAGCCCTGCCGCCAAAAAATCGCTTCGCCTGCGGCGCGCTCTTGCGCTCCTCATACCTCGAGCGCAATCCATAAGTAGGAGACGCTCACTGTCGCCATTCAGGCGCCTGATCTTTCAGCAAAGCGATGGCCTACCAGGTACGAGTTCAGATGCGCGCCCGGCAGAAGACGCTTGTGATGCCGCATGCAGTGGAATGCGCACAGAGAACGGACGGCCAGAGAAGGCAAGGGAAGGAAGAGAAACGGCTGGTGAAGCTCAGCTCACGGCGTAGTATTGCGGTCACTAACCATCCACGGCAAGAGTCACGGTGAATGCTGCCGCATAAAAGCAACAGAGTCGCGGTTGGCGCGATGGTCTTGTCGCGGTTGACGACTTGACGTTGCACACGGCCATAGACGCAGGATCTGTTTGGCGAGCCTCAAGCAGCGAAAGCAGGCGCGAGGAATAATGTCAATCCTGAGATCTCAATTTTGGCGCTAGTTTCGTTTCCTAGTACATCACGACGACTTGGGTCTCATGTAGCTCGACGGCTCTTCGACGGCTCTTTCTGGTTGGATCAGACAGTGCTATCAGTCAACAACACAATGCCGAGAGCAGGGCGGCCTTCGAGCAGGGCGGCCTTCGAGGCAACTAAGTTCCTGCTGCATTTTGCCACTGAACGTACAACTTGATGGCGGGCGGACGTGTCGAGCATGGATCGAGAGCATGGAAGGCGGCCATTGCTCAAACCTGTTTGAGTTGGCCTCCGGGAACAAGGGTGCGTGGCCGGCGCGGTCTGTTTCACGTGCAATAAGGGCAACGCCATCAAAATCGCGCGAACATGGGCCGACATGCCTCCGACATTTCTCAGGGCTCGGACGGAAGCTCTGCAGACAGCCAGACCGCTCTGCGCGCACATTAGTGTGCCGTCGGACCGACTTTTTCAGACTTTACTATTCTGGATACTGAGGGTATGTGCTGCTAGATCTCACTGAGCTGAGCTCGTATCTGCCTTTGGTAAGCCGTTTTGAGTTCGGTAATGTCTCCGGAGACGGAGGGCCGCGTCCGCGGACGGCCATGACGTCGGCCGGGACCGCCCCGTGGGGGCCTCGCGATGGCTGTCAGCGCTCCTCCGGGCTTTGCATCACACCTCCCATTCACGCACGTAGCTGAAGCAAGTACTCGTAAAAACGGCGCGTCAAATGCAGCATCCAGGCGTCTAAAGAAGACGACATGAATGGTTCACAGAGAATATGTTCAGACCTTTGCGCGGGTGTGGTGTGTGGATGGACAGCCATTCCGCGTGGTTGAGGGGTTGAAGGGGTCTGTCAACCACTTGGTTGAGGGTTGAGGCCTCTGTCAACCACGTGGTTGACAGTTGAGGCAATCGGCCTCAACCACCGCTCTGGGCAGACTTTTTCCTCACCTTTCTCCCTCGAATTGTATACTAGTATGTGAGAATCGCTGCTCGTTCCCAGACACACGTCCCCGTTCACACCTTCCTTCTCGATCGGCGCCGTGGTGGGAGGGCGCTCGGACCAGAGCGACGATGCGCGGACCTCGCGAGACCCTGAGCGGCGAGCTTATGTGCGCGTGTGGTTTGTACGGCCGCGAACTCAACTTTGAAGCTGCCCGTGCAGCTTTGGCTGCCGGCGCCTGGGTTGACGGGGAAGCAGGCGTCCTGTCGCAGCGAGACTGTGAGCACTATCACCCGCTGTCGCTTGCCGTCAAGAACGGACACGCAGGCCTCGTGGAGCTGCTCCTCAACGCTGGCGCGACGATCTTGCCTCGCAAAGTGGGTTACTCAGAGTACCCGCCTGCGCATGAGTATGCAGTCCAGGAAGGCACAGTGTGCCTTGCTTTCGAAGCACGGAAGCTGTGTGTGGCTCAGCTCCTGCTTCGCGCACTCAAGGCTGGACTGCCGGCGACACGCGGCGCGTACCGAGACGCCGTGTATGACTCGCTGCTTCTCGCGTCGCGTGGGGAACGGGGCTTTGGCGCCGATATTCTCGCGTTCCTCGTGCGTGGCGACTGGCTTCGAGCCGTGTGTGCTGATAGCAACGACAGCGCGCCGCTGAAGCTCGAGCCAGCGCTAGAGAAGGCCGCGGAAGCGCACCAGGGAGCCCTCAAATGGGAACGCGAGATGCTGGAGCGTGAGAGCACCAGACCTATCAACGGCATCAAGCTGACGCCGGAGCGGAGGCGCAGCCTTCGCGCGCGCATCTGCGCCCTCGAGTGCGTCGGCGAGCAGCTGCACATTCTGCAGGGCTGCGCTGCAGCTGGCCGCAGCCCGCTGGCCATGGCATCGCTCCGATGGCTGCCCAGGGGCCCCTTCGCCGAGTGGCCGTGGCCTGGGGTCACCTTCCCGGCTGCCTTTCGAGCGCGTGCGAAGGCGTTGCTGCAGTGCGCGCGGCGCGAGGAGAGTGGCTCCCTGCACAAGCTCGATCAGCATCTCCTCGAGCTCGTCATCGCTTCCTTGGCCCTGCGCTACTGGGATGGCGAGCCGACAGCGCTGGCCTCTCGCACAGAGCTCCACCTGCCTTGCGGCGAGACCACCGTTGTCTGCCCGCTTCGAGAGACGTGGGCGCGCGGTGAAGCTCCCTCGGCATTCCACCAGCTCGCAGCGACGCGCTTGCAAGCGAGGCTGCGTGGGCGCGTCTGCAGGCGTCGCGTCTCGCAAGACGAGGAGATCGCCCGCCGCCGCAGCGCTCTTCGCCTGCAGGAGGAGGCGAGGGAAGACGCGGCGTACAGCATCACCGAGGCGGCACTCGATTTCCTGCACCGGCGGCTCTTGCGTCGTTGGGCAGTGCTGTGGGCGCGCATCGAGGGCGCCGCGCTCGAGAGAGAGATCGCACGCCACGTGGCGGATCGCGACCTTCTCGCTTTCGCACTGGTCGCACGCGCTTTTCGCGCGGCGCAGCAGGCCACCGGGCGGGCGCTCACCCCGTCACGTCCGAGCGACTTCCTGCGCAGTCCGCGCATGCTGGAGTGGGGCGTCTCGCTCGGCTGTCCGCCGCTCGTTCGTCTGGGAGATCAGCTGCCTCCATGGTATCTCATCGCCAACTTCCCACGCTTCTTGAGCGGGCGCGAGCCGTCCTATCTCTTCCAGTCGCTGACATTCACGCGGCGCGAGCTGTACGGCGGGCGGGCCCGGCTGAAGACCGACGAGAATGGACGCGCTGATCAGGCCGGCAACTTCCGCCGCACGCTGACAGAGACGGAATGGCATCAGGCTGCACTCGCGTGCCCGTCGGTGTACTTCAAGAACCCGAGCAGCCGTGATCACGTGCACCCCCCTCGAACGCGCAAAAGGTTTGAAGCAGCGCGAAACGACTTCTTCACCGTGCGCGAGTTGCTCGCTGCTCTCCGCACATGGGAGTTCTCGGGCGGGGCACACTATACGTCGCCGCACACGCGGTACCATGGCATGTTCGCCCGTGAGTGGGCAGGGGAGTGGGGCGACGAGCTTTTGCACACGGACGGAGACGGCGGCTACTCGCTTTCGTGGGAGATCGAGTACGAGTGCCCGGCGGATGACATCGTCACCTCGTTCGCTTGATAGAGGTCGGTTGATACAGCGCACTGGAGCAGCATTGGGTTGGCTACTCGTGTCCTTTTTTTCGGCGTTTTTTTCTTTCCCAATGGCTCCGGTGCGCGGTGGTGAGCCAGTGGCTAGTGCCACACTGTGGCACAGCTCGCGTTACAAAACCTTGATTTGACCATTGCTCGAAAAATGTCCCTCTCGGTGCCTTCCAGAGGCAGCTGCAACCCCGCCGAGTGACGGGCGCACACAGC